TGGAGTCGACGGGCCAGAAGCTCACCTTCTATGAGGCCCTGAAGAGAAACCTGCTGAAGCCAGAGGTTGCCCTCTCCCTGTTGGAGGCACAAGCTGCCACTGGCTACATCATTGACCCCGTGGGGAACAAGCTCTTCTCCGTGGATGAGGCGGTGAAGGCTGAGGTGGTGGGGCCGGAGTTCCACGAGAAACTGCTGTCGGCAGAGAAGGCGGTGACCGGCTACAAGGATCCCTACACAGGCCAGACGGTTTCCCTCTACCAAGCGCTCAAGAAGGGCCTCATCCCCAGTGACACTGGGCTCCGGCTGCTGGACGTCCAGCTCGCCACTGGTGGCATCATCGACCCTGTCAACAGCCACCGGCTCCCACTCGAGATCGCCTACAAGCGCGGCTACTTCGACCCGGAGGTAAACGAGGCTCTGACTGAGCTCCGAGATGACGCCAAGGCTTTCTACTGCCCCAACACCCAGGAACACCTCACCTACGCCCAGCTGCAGAAGAGCTGCCACCGTGATAAGCAGACTGGCCTGTGCCTGCTGCCCCTGTCCGACAAGGCCATCCAGTCGCAGCAGGAGGAGGTCTACACCGACAGCCAGGCCAAGGAGTGCTTCGACAAGACCACCATAGAGGTCCCGGTGGGCAGCATGAAGGGCCGGACGATGACCATCTGGGATCTGATCCACTCTGAGTACTTCACAGAGGAGCACAGGCGGGAGCTCCTCCGACAGTACAAAACCGGCAAGGTGACCATCGAGAAGATCATCAAGATCGTGATCACCATCATCGAGGAGGCGGAGACCAAAAAGCAGGAGAAGCTGACGTTCAGCGGTCTGCGGGCGCCGGTGCCGGCCAGTGAGCTGCTGGAGTCCCGCATCATCAGCAAAGCCCAGTACGAGCAGCTGAAGGAAGGCAAGAAGACGGTGAAGGACCTCTCTGAGACAGATGCAGTGAGGAGGTTCCTGCACGGCAGCGACTGCATTGCTGGCGTCTATGTGGAGGCCACCAAGGAGAAGCTGAACATCTATGAGGCCATGAAGAGGAACCTGCTGATGCCCAGCACCGCTGTGGTCCTCCTGGAGGCCCAGGCAGCCACTGGGTTTTTGATCGACCCCGTGAAGAACCGTAAACTGTACGTCAACGAGGCAGTGAAGGCTGGTGTTGTCGGGCCTGAGCTGCACGAGAAGCTTCTATCAGCTGAGAAGGCTGTCACCGGCTACAAGGACCCCTACTCAGGCGACACCATCTCGCTCTTCCAGGCCATGAAGAAAGGGCTCATTGTCAGGGACCACGGCATCCGCCTGCTCGAGGCCCAGATCGCCACCGGCGGCATCATCGACCCCGTGCACAGCCACCGCCTGCCCGTGGAGGTGGCCTACAAACGCGGCTACTTCGACCAGGAGATGAACCAGGTCCTGTCCGACCCCACTGACGACACCAAGGGCTTCTTTGATCCCAATACCCGTGAGAACCTCACCTACCTGCAGCTGAAGGAGAGGTGCATCGAGGATCCCGAGACGGGCCTGTACCTGCTGCCTCTGCGGGAGCCCGAGAAGCCGAAAGTGGTGGAGACCACCCAGGTTTACACAGAGGCAGAGACACGGAAGGTGTTCGAGGAGACGCAGGTGGACATCCCTGTGGGCAGCCGGGCAGGCTCCTCCATGTCGCTGTGGGAGATCATGCACTCGGACCTGCTGCCCGAGGAGCAGCGGAAGCAGCTCATGGAGGAGTTCCAGTCAGGCCGCGTGTCCAAGGAGCGCATGATCATCATCATCATCGAGATCATCGAGAAGACTGAGATCATCCGGCAGCAGAACCTCATGTCCTATGACTACGTCCGGCGCCGCATCACGGCCGAGGAGCTCTACGAGGCCAAGATCATCTCTCAGGACATCTACAACATGCTGAAGCAGGGCTCCAAAACCTTCCGGGAGCTCCTGGAGGTGGAGACTGTCTGGAAGTACCTCTATGGGTCGGGCTGTGTGGCTGGCATCTACATCCCCTCCTCCAAGCAGACGCTCAGCATCTACCAGGCGCTGAAGAAAGGACTGATCAACTCTGAAGTGGCCCGCTCCCTCCTGGAGGCCCAGGCAGCCACCGGTTTCATGATCGACCCCACCAAGAACGAGATGCTGACGGTCGACGAGGCAGTCAGGAAGGGCGTGGTGGGGCCTGAGATCCACGACCGGCTCCTGTCTGCAGAGAGAGCCGTGACCGGCTACAGAGATCCCTACAGCGAACAGAAGATTTCCCTCTTCCAGGCCATGAAGAAGGATCTCATTCCCAGTGAAGAGGCCCTCAAGCTCCTGGACGCCCAGATCGCCACTGGCGGCGTCATCGACCCACACCTGGGCTTCCACCTGCCCCTGGAGGTGGCCTACCAGCGGGGCTTCATCAACAAGGAGACGCACGACATGCTCTCGGAGCCCAGCGAGGTGCGCAGCTACGTGGACCCCTCCACGGACGAGAAGCTCAGCTACACACAGCTGCTGAAGCGCTGCTGGAAGGACGAGAACTCCAGGCTCCTCCTGCTCCCGCTCTGCGACACGCGGAAACTCACCTTCCGGGGGCTGCGGAAGCAGATCACCGTGGAGGAGCTCGTCCGTTCACAGGTGATGGACGAAGCCACAGCCCAGCGCCTCCAGGAGGGCCTCACCTCCGTCGAGGAGGTCTCCAAGAACATCAAGAAGTTCCTGGAGGGCACCAGCTGCATCGCTGGCGTCTTTGTGGACTCCACGAAGGAGCGTCTGTCCGTCTACCAGGCCATGAAGAAGGGGATCATCCGGCCCGGCACTGCCTTTGAGCTCCTGGAGGCGCAGGCAGCCACGGGCTACGTGATCGACCCCATCAAGGGCCTCAAGCTGACGGTGGAGGAAGCCGTGCGGATGGGCATCGTGGGCCCCGAGTTCAAGGACAAGCTGCTCTCTGCCGAGAGGGCCGTCACCGGCTACCGGGACCCCTACACTGGAAAGCTCATCTCCCTCTTCCAGGCCATGAAGAAGGGTCTGATCCTGAAGGACCACGGGATCCGCTTGCTGGAGGCGCAGATTGCCACGGGAGGCATCATTGACCCCGAGGAGAGCCACCGCCTGCCCGTGGAGGTGGCCTACAAGAGGGGCCTCTTTGACGAGGAGATGAATGAGATCCTGCTGGACCCCAGCGATGACACCAAGGGCTTCTTCGACCCCAACACGGAGGAGAACCTCACCTACCTGCAGCTGATGGAGCGGTGCATCACGGACCCAGAGACCGGCCTCTGCCTCCTGCCCCTGAAGGAGAAGAAGCGGGAGAGGAAGACTTCTTCCAAGTCCTCTGTCCGCAAGCGCCGGGTGGTGATTGTTGACCCAGAGACGGGCAAGGAGATGTCTGTCTACGAAGCCTATCGCAAGGGCCTCATCGACCACCAGACCTACCTGGAGCTGTCGGAGCAGGAGTGTGAATGGGAAGAGATCACCACCTCGTCCTCCGACGGTGTGGTGAAGTCAATGATCATCGACAGGCGCTCGGGGCGCCAGTATGACATCGACGACGCCATCGGCAAGGGCCTGATTGACCAGTCAGCCCTGGACCAGTACCGCTCAGGCACCCTCTCCATCACCGAGTTTGCCGACATGCTCTCCGGCAACATGGGTGGCTTCCGGTCGCGGTCATCCTCAGTGGGATCCTCCTCCTCCTACACCGTCAGCCCGGCCCTGACACGGACCCAGATCTCCATGTGGACCGACCCGACCGAGGAGACCGGGCCGGTGGCGGGCATCCTGGACACAGACACTCTCGAGAAGGTGTCCATCACGGAGGCGATGCGCCGCAACCTGGTGGACAACATCACGGGGCAGCGGCTGCTGGAAGCCCAGGCCTGCACCGGGGGCATCATCGACCCCAGCACCGGTGACAAGTGCTCTGTTGCCGACGCGGTCAACAAGGGCCTGGTCGACAAGATCATGGTGGACCGCATCAACCTGGCGCAGAAGGCCTTCTACGGCTTCGAGGACCCGCGGACCAAGACGAAGATGTCGGCGGCGCAGGCGCTGAAGAAGGGCTGGCTGTACTACGAGGCCGGGCAGCGGTTCCTGGAGGTGCAGTACCTGACGGGGGGCCTGATTGAGCCCGACACCGCGGGCCGCGTGTCCCTGGACGAGGCGCTGCAGAAGGGCACCATCGACGCGCGCACCGCCCAGAAGCTGCGGGACGTCAACACCTACTCCAAGTACCTCACCTGCCCCAAGACCAAGCTCAAGATCTCCTACAAGGACGCTATGGACCGGAGCATGATTGAGGATGGGACCGGCCTGCGGCTGCTGGAGGCCTCGTCCCAGTCCAGCAAGGGCTACTACAGCCCCTACAACGTCAGCAGTGCCGGCTCCACCTCCGGATCCCGCTCAGGCTCCCGCACCGGCTCCCGTGCAGGCTCCCGGCGCGGCAGCTTCGATGCCACCAGCTCCGGCTTCTCTATGACCTTCTCTTCCTCATCCTACTCCTCCTCGAGCTTCGGGCGCAGATACGCCGGGGGTCCCCAGGGCGCTGTGGAGGCAGCTGCTCTAGCCCTTGCCCTCACCCTGGCTGCATCCGGGAGCTGTGGGCGGGAGGCGAGCGGGGAGCACCCCGGGGTGTGTGGGCCTCCGCTCCACGTGGCCTGAGACCCGCCAGCCCCCGAGGCGCTGCCTCACCCGCTCCGCATGTGGCAACGCTGCTGGCTAATCACTAGTATTTTTTTTAATTTTGAACCTCCACTCTTCTCCCAAAGCAGTGCCTCGAGTTTAACCAAAAAGACAAGACTAATAAATTAATATATGCGAATGTGCTGACAGTGTTTGTATATTAAGAGACGAGAGAAAACACACACTACCCTCCCTGCCCTGTGCCCTGGGAGCCGGATGCCGTTCCAGCCCCTGGCTGCGCAGACTCCGCTGCCGCTCGCACACGGTGCGGTCGAGCCGGACACCAGGAAAACAGTTCCCTGTTTGGATCTAACCACTTAGCACTCTTTTGTAATTAACCTGCCGGCTTCAACCCCCGCACCCCGAAGGAGGAGATGACCCTGGCCCCACGGTGCCCCACACTGCAGCCGGCGTGCTGGAGGAGGACATCGCGGACTCCCCGGCACCAGGCAGCCGGACACACCACGCCGGCCCCGGAGCTGCTGCCTGGACCCCTTCCAACCACCCTCAGCGTGACAAGGAGGGGGCTCTGCGCCCGGCCCCCCAGCTGCCCCATCTCCCTGCCTTGGCCTCCCAGCACGTCCCCGCCACCGCACCGCGGAGCCGGTGCCCCGACCGTAAGTGCCGCCCTGGTGCTGCCCGGTGCTTCACGCGGGGGGACCTGCCTCCGCTCCGCCGCTTCGCCCACCGAGGGGCTTCGCTGCGCGCCTGCCTCCGCCAGCCCGCCCGCTCACCCGCCCTCCGGGACGCTCCCGCCGTGGCCGGCCGGTCTGTCTGTCTGTCTCTCCGTGTATCTGGGAAGTGCTTCCGCTCGAGGTTGATTTCCTCACACTAATGTGGCTCCACGCCCCCTTGGCAGGTGTCTGCCAGAACCCACGCCCCAGCCCGGTTCCACGTGGCTCCTGTGCCCAGAGCCCCCCTGGCCACGGGGACTTTCCTGACCCTCGTGAGGGGTGCGGGGGCCTCAGGACCCCCGGAGCATGGGGTGGGCCGTGGGATGCTGCAGCAGCCCGAAACATGCTCTTGTTAGAAAGTGACGAATTTCTGTAAAAGCAGCCTCCTCTTCCTTCCTCGCGGTAATTCCAGCCCCCTGTCCCCGGCTCTCCCTGCGCCTGCAGTAACACACTCTCTCTCTGGCAGACGTCTTTTTCCAGTCCCACCAAAGATGTCCCGGTGCCGCTGGGTGAGCTCCTGAGCTGGGTCTCCGACGTCAGCAGGTCGTGGATGGGCTCGAGGGGAGCCCGGGAGGCTGCGGCTGCTCGGCGGCGCTCACCAGCACAGGTAACGCCGAGCTCCCCGCTCCGTCCCGGTCCCGCGGCGCTGCCGGCCGGGTCAGTGGCTTCATCTCGTGGGTCGTTCTCCCTGTCTCATCCCATCTTTTCTGTTCGCTTTGTTGTAGTGTGGCTGGATGTCCATCTCACCTCCCCTCATCGCCGCCACGGAGCCCGTCCCCTGCCCCGGGGCCGGTTGGACCGCGCCTGAGGACGTGGGGACGTGCTCCCTCGCCCTTTGCACTTGCCAGAGTCCCCGGGCAGAGACCGGGGCTGCAGTGCCCGGGCAGCCAGTGGCCCGAGAGGCACCCACGGGGTCACCCAATCCCTCCTCGCCCTGCACACCCCCTTCTCCCCAGGGACGGCCTCCCGGCGCGGTGCTGGGCTCACCGCGGATCTCCATGGCATCTCCTTCTTCCCCCCTGCTCTCATCTACCACCTGTAAATCCAGTCATGTTACCCTTCGCCTCCGGTGTCGTTATTGCTCTCATTATCCGGTTTGGCTTTGCATGAGGCGCCGCTGCCCGCAGCTCCGGGATGCTTCCCACTCCCTGGGGCCCCCCGTGCCCCGACCATCACTCATCGGGGCATCGGGGGCCCATCGATCACCCAAACAAGTGTTCTGGGGGCAAAACACTAAAATCCTGACCTATACATACTGCAAAGTGTCTGTAAAAGGAGCAGTGTGGACCCAGGGCTCCCCTGCAAGGGCAGTAAAGGAGAATCCTCTGAAACCAGCCAGCAGCTCTGTGTGGTCTGTTTGCCCCTCCAGCCTCGCCACCGTGGCTGTGGGCTGGGGGCTCTCATTGCCTCCTGTGGCTTTGTGCCATGGGCTGCTGGTCCTGGTGGAACGTGCTGGGGCACGGTGGGTCTGACCGGCTCCTGGCACAGGTGCTTCACCCATGGGCTGGGCCTTGGTGTCCCCACGGTGCTGCTGGGCACAGAGCAGGGCCGCAGGGCTGTCCCCAGGGCTGTCCCGGGCTGGTGGCACAGCCGGCACTGCCAGGAGGTGAGTGTGGGTGCAGCCCCTGGCCAGCAGATCCCTGGTTTTGGGGAGTGAGCAGTGCTGGGACTGTGGGGGCTGTAGAGGCTTTCGAGGCTGAATCTTTCCCATGGGGACAAACCCATCCCTTCCAGCCCCGTCAGTGGGGCTCTGGGCATGGCAGGGACACTGTCCCCCACGGCACTCTTCCCTGTGCCCATATGTGCCATTACCACTGCTAGTCCAAGGCTGTGCCCACTGGTCCCGTGGCCTCTGCCCAGTGCAGGCTGTGCCGGGGGCTCTCCCTTTTCGGGCAGTGAGGGGCTGTTGTGGGCAGATGGCAGCAGTTTGCTGTGAGGATGAGGGGCTGGAGGGGATCAGGGTGTGCTGGCCCAGCAGCCACTGACAGGGCAGCAGCATTTCGAGGGACAGTCCCGGCAAACTGGGAAATGTCAGTGCAGCTGCCAGCGCAGGTGTGGGCAGCTCAAGGGGGCTGTCCAGCCTGGTGAGCCAAGTGCCACCCTCTGCCCAGGCTGGGGCTCCCTGAGCGGGAGACTCATCCTGTGGCAGTGCCAGGAGCACCAGGCACCACGCTGGGAGTGCTGGAGCTGTCCAGGGCTTTGCGAGACCCCTGTGATGTCCAGGGGCTGGTGAGGTCTCGCTGTGCCAGGAGCAGCTGGGCATGTCCACCCTGGCAGCAGCCCTGAGTGGGGAGGCCGGGCTGGCCAGGACAGATGGCGGCGGCTGGGAGGACGTTAATTGCATTGTCCGTCTGCAATTAACCACATCTGTCCCCGCCGGCAGCGGGACGTGGCCGTTGGGCGCAGCAGGGCCAGGGAGACTGGGGGGGTTGCAGGCTCAGGAGTGGTCCCCGGGCAGCAATGACATTCCCTGGGGTGTCATGGGCTGCCCAGGGTCACACAGCATTTCACTGCCCCTCCAGGTATTCCCTGTGTCCCCCAGACCTTTCCTGTTCCCCCACACATCCTCTACTCCCCCCACCTTCCGGACCCTCCCCTCCTCCCCTCTCCCCAGCCAGTCACCTCTCTCAAAGCTCGTGAGGCCACCAAGAGCCCTCTTCTGGCCCAGGGCTAAGCCCCATGGCCCAGCCCCACATCACCGCCTGACACTGGTGGGGTTCAGCTCTGGTCCCTGGTGAGAGACCCCCCTGCTCCTGGGCCCGACCATGGGACCTGCGTCCACATGACACAGGAGATCCCACCCCCTACATGCCCTTTTCCACACCCCCTCAGCCCTGTGCCCCTGGCACGGGGACCCTTCCATTGTGCCCAGGGTGGTGGGATCCTCCTGCCTTGGCTGGGAAAGGGGCACAGGAGACGGGGACATCCCGAAACCTGGGCTGTCTGCTCCCGGGTGCCGTGGGGTGAGCACGCAACTCCCAACCCAGCACAGTGTCCTTTGTCCGTGGACCCTCTCCATTGGCTCGTGCTGCTCCACGTCTCCATTGGCTCGTCCTGTCTGCCCCCTGAGACCCCCGTCCCTCCCAAAGCCCCTTCAGCACCACGTGCTGGGAGTGACCAGGCCAGTGTGTGACCAGGCCGAGCTTGTCACGATGGAAAACTCCATGACATTCCCAATTTTAATGCCCGCTGCCGTGCGGCTCGGAGCTCACCCTCCCCGCCCCCCTCGAGCTAAACCATCCCTCAGCATTAACACCGCGGGCCGCGGCGTGTGAGGCACCGAGTGTCGCCCTGCCCGTGGTGCCGATCGGCCCTGGAGGGGTCCCTCGCCCCCCGCCCGGCGCACATCGGCCTTGGCCAACCTCCCGTCACGGTGTGAGCGGCAGCACCGCCCCGTCCTGGCCGCGGTCCGGTGCGCGGGACCCGTGGCCGCCGTCCCAAGCGTGGCCGCGGAAGCCGGCTCGGCTGCCAGCTCCCTGTGCCACCGCCCCGGGCACTGCTGGCTCGGCCCCCGCCGCGCCGGGAACGCTCTGAACAGCTTCTCCACAAAGCCCGACCGGCCTCTCCCACGCCCCCCCCTCGCCGGGGCGCTGAACCTCCTCATGGGCAGGGACCCCGAGACCCCCCCGGCCGCGCCGCTGGGGCTCGGAGCCCGGGTGCGCTGGCCAAGGCCGGCTCTGCCTCGCGCAGGCACCGGCAATTGTGTGCCCCGTCGGTCTGTGCCGGGTTCACCGGCGTCGGCGGGGCCGGTGACGCGGTGGGGACAGCGGCGGTGCCGTGTGGGCAGCGCGGTACGGGGACCTGCCTCCCTCCGCGGCACTGTGGAGCTGCTGCCGGGCAGCTCCAGACCCGTTTGTTCCTGCCGTCTTGTCCCCGGGCGAACGGCGCAGCCCGCGGTGTCCGATGCCCGAACCGGGGCTGGGGGCTGCCCCGGACCCACCCCCAGCGTGCCGGAGCAGGCACGTGCCGCGCTCAGCACCTCGGTGTCCCGGCGCCGGTTTGGGGTTCGGGGCTCCTCGTGGTCTTTTGGCACGTCCTCAGGACCGGAGCGGTCGGTGCAGCCGCGCCGCCGCCGTGTCTGGGACAGGCTGGCAGCGATCGCCGGGGCTTCGTCCTCGGCTCCATCCCCGCCAGCCTGGACTGAGTTTGGGCTGGAAGAGCGTTTCCCACTGCAGATGCTGTTGTCGTCTGCCCACCTGCGGCAACATCCTCCAGCTCCCCGGGTCCCTGTGCCCAGCCTCTTGCAGCGGGCACCGCGGTCCTGCCCCGGGATGAGGGCTCACCGCGGGGCACACGGGATGCTGCTGGTGGCTTGGCCAGCTGGCGGGGGAGCACCGGTGCCAGTGCCGAGGGCAGGTGGCCACACTGAGGGCGTGTCGGGCGGGGGGACCCTGCCGTGGCTGACGGCATCGTGCCCGCAGGGTCAGTCGTGAATACAATCCCGGAGCGCCTCCGACGGGACCGAGCCCTGCCGGCACTCCGACCACGCGGGACTGCTGCGGCACCGGCACCTGGCACCTGCCTAATGCCGCTTCCCCTCATTCCAGGAATTCCCTACTGCTCCTGCGGGGGTCCCTGACCAGACCCTGCCCGCGGCTCCTTCCGCAGCAGCCGCATCCAACACACCCCCAGTCTGCGGGTGACTGTGTCCCGTTTCCCTCCTGGGGTCCCCAGAGGCATCTCCGCCTCGTTATGCTCGGCCAGGTGACCTGGCTTAATTAATCACCAGGGTTAACGACCAGTTAATTGCAGGGCTCCCTGTGCTCTCGGGAGCAGCATCGCCCTCAGCCTTGGGAGCGGGTACGGTGGGATCCCTGGGCGGGATCCTGCCAGCCCCACTCTCCGCAGGGGCAAGGAGCAGCCGCTCCCTGTTCGTGCCCGGTCTCTGTACCCGTGCCGGGGCGTTGCTGGGTTTTAGATCTCGGTGTTTGCCCGGCGTCTCATCCCACATGTTGCAGCAAAGGGACCGTGCTCGCAGCACCGGAACCGGCAGTGGCTGGTGTGGGTGTCAGTGCAGCGGATTTTCCATGGATCGGTTTGTCGCAGATCAGTTTTCCACTGTTCAGTTTGCCGTGGGTCACTTTGCCGTGGCTTGGTTTGGGCTCAGCCAGGCCCCGGACCGTTGGCTCTGCAGTGCACAGAGCAGGTGTAGGGACACTGGGGGCCAGATGGAGCCCAAGGGGTGGCAGAGTGAGATCTGGGAGTGATCCCGGGTGAAAAAGGGTCGGGAATTTGGGGAGCGCTGCATGAACGCAGAGGAGCCGGAGCAGAGCCAAACCCCTCAGGTACCGGCGACGGCTGGAGCAAGGACAGACGTCGGAGGTCTCGGACAGGGGAGCTCTGCCCCGGCTGGTGAGGACGGGCCGTCCCTGGGGAAAACACAGCGACACTCCAGGACCTCCGCAGTGGTGTTCCAGGGGGGAAGGCTGTGGAGCCTCGTCCTCTGCCGAGTCCTGGTGTCCCGTCCCCACCGTCCCTCTGCTCTCCCTGCAGATGCACCGCACTGCGGGGGACACCGGGCTCGCCGGGGAGAGCGTGGAGGGGTCATCAGCGGATGGGGAGGAGATGGAGAGGTACGGGCACCACTGGGCACCGCCGAACGCATCGTGTCGGGGCCTGCGAGTGTGCCTGGCTGTCTATACCGTGATGGGGGAGCTGGGGGGAACCCGCACCGCCTGGGGGTCTGGGTCGGCGCCGGGATGGGGAGGGCGCGGTTCGGCTTTGCCGGGGAGAGCAGGGTGGGAACGGACACAGCCGGGACGCCCTTGGCAGGGTCTGCTGTGAGTGCGCAGCGAGGCCGGGGCTCAGCGTGGTGTGGGCAGGGGGGACAGCAGCCACGTCCCCCACTCTGTATTAGTGTCCCCACTCTTTCCGCAGAGCCCGGCCGCGGTCAGAACGGAGGCTGGAGGTGCAGGAGCAGCTGCTGGCCCTGCGGCACTGGCTGGACGCGGTGGAGAAGCGGCTGCCGACACTGCCGGAGCCCGGCACGGCCCCGCAGGTAACGTCTGGCCCTGGGCTGCGGCCGGGTCGCGCGGAGCTGGGCAGGACCAGCTCACGTCTGTACCGAGGCCGGTGAGGTCTTAGTCCCTGGAAGGCAAGAGAGTGCCCGGCCATGGCCGGCTGGGAGACCCTTCGGCACAGCCCCACGGCCGGCTGGGATACCCCTGGGCTCGTCCACACGAGTCGGTGTCAGGCCGTCCGTCCCCGGCTCCTGCTCCTCGGCCTGACGGTGCCGCTGGCTCGGAGCCCGCGGGCCCTGTCGCCCTACCGGTACCCGCAGCATCGCTGCGTCGGAGCCCTACTGGCCACAGGGCCACCGACTGCACCGGGCTCAGCGTCGGCTCCGGGCACGACTGCCTGGGCACGGGAGGTGCGGCTGTGAGAGGGGTGTGAGGCTGTGCACGAGGGGTGTGCGGCCCCGCACGGGCTGTGCGGTGCTGCCCTGCGCCGCTGTTGTGCCCCCGCCCAGGCGCGGAGCCGCAGCGGGAGCAGCGCGGTGGGGGCTGCCGGCGGCCCCTCCTCGCCGCCCCGCGCGCAGCCCCTCGCCGGCTCCTTTTGTTCGGGGCCTGGCCGGCACACGGGCTCCCTCGGCACACATGACGGCACAAACTGAAAGGGCCATTCATCCCGGCCCCGGCGCAGACAAAGCCGAGGCCGCGCAGAAACCCACCCGGCTCCCGGGATCTGAGGCTGCGGATTCCAGCCGACCGCTCCCGCCCGGTGCCCCGCGCCGGGCTCCCCTGCCCGGGGCGCCCGTGCCACCCCGAGCCCGGTACCTGGGGCTGCGGAGCGTGCCGGGCGAGCTGCCGGCGGGCAGCTCGGCGGATCGTCACCCCCTGCCCAGGTCCTGCCCGGTGGGTCCCGGCTGGGACCCGTGGGGTGCCGTGGGGTACCCGGGGTGCCGTGGGGCTCAACCCCGTGCTGGGCGCCGAGCCGCTCGGTGCCAGCAGTGGAAGGCTCCAGAGCTGGGTGGGGAAGATGGTGCGGAGCCGCCACAGGACGGTGCGGAGCCGCCGAGGCCCTGGCAGATGCTAATTCCCGGCAGCGTCTCTGGCAGCAGACAAAGCCCCCGGCCCCGCCGCCCGCCGCTCCCAGGGGACGGGAGCAGCCCCATCCATCAGCGTGGCCGACGCGCCGGCAGCGGCCCCCCGGCTCCCGGGGCCCAGCGAGGGCCACCCGTGCAGCACTGTGTGGCAGGACCCCCGCCCTGGGGGGCTCTCGCTGGCTGGGGGGGCCGCGGAGCTGGGTCTGGGCAGGGTGGGGAGGGGGTTTACACTGCGGGCAGGAGCAGCTCGCCCCCGGATTCCTTCAGCACCCAGGGTGGCAGCGGGGAGGTGTCCCGGAGCCCCAGGTTCGCAGCACCCCGGCTTTCAGGGTGGGCTTCGCCACACCATCTTGGCGGCCCAGCCTGGGCCCCCAACCGTGCCTTGCTTCACCGAGCCTCCCCGGCCCAGCCCTGCTCCACTGAGTCCCCCCAGCCTCTGGCTCAGAAGCCCCCGCACCCGCAGAGCCCTGAGGAACGGGCCGAACCCCTCGGCGACCAAGGCATCCACTGCCTGGGGCTGGAGCCGGGGGCCACGGCCGGGGTGGGGGGTCGGTGATCCCGGGGGGTGCAACCCCGGAGCTGGAGGGGCTGTGACACCGCGGGGCGGGGGCGGTGCCGCTGTGCGGAGGGGGCAGGTGCCGGTGTCAGTGCCGGTGCCGGTGTCGGTGCAGGTGGCAGCTGCTCTAAGTGTCGGTGTTGGTGCAGGAGCAAGTGCTGGTGCCGGGGAAGGTGCTGGTGTCTGTAATGGTGCAGGGACGGGGGCAGGTGCTGCCGGTGCCGGTGCCGGTGTCGGTGTCAGTGCGGTGGCGGAGCAGGTGCCGGTGTCGGTGGCAGTGCCGGTGCCCGTGCGGGGTGTTGCCCCCCCGGGCGGCGCGGGGTGGGCGGTGGGCCGGCGCCGCCCCTCCCCCGCGGGATGGCTGCGGGGCCCCGGGGGTTTCCCCGGTAACGGTGGCGATCGGCGCCCGGAGGGTTAACGGGGGGGGCGGCGTGTCCGGGGTCAGACCAGCCCCGCCGAGCCGGGCCGGGGCCGGTGCGAAGGTCCTCGCCGGTACCCCCCGCTCTCTACGCTCCCCCCGCGCCGCGGGCGCGGCGCACAAAGGCGGCGGCGGCGGGGCCGGGGCGGCGGTAACGGGGACCGAGCCACCCCGCTGCCCCCGCCCCGCTCCCTCGCACAGGCCGGGCCCCCCTCGGCCGGTAACGGCGGCGGCGGCGGCCCCGGCCCGGCCCCATGGACACCCGGAGCCGCGGAGGGGTGAGTGTGGGGTGGGGGTTTCGCGCGGGTCCGGGAGCGCGGGGTGCGCGTGGCCGGGCGGGGTCTGTGTCCCCGCAGCACCCCCGAGGCAGGGGCGCGGAGAGGTGTCCCCCCGAGTCGCCCCGCGTCCTGGTCCCCCACTCGTGCGGTCCCAAGGCACCCCGACACACGGGGGAGAGACGGGGGTGCGCGATGCCCCGCGGGACTGCACCCACGGGGGTGCGAGTGTCGGGACCCTGCCGTAGGCGTGAGTGTGTGCGGGGACCGCGCACGGGGACCGTGCCCGTGGCGTGTTTCACGGCGTGTCGGGCCGCGCGTGGGGGCTCGGTGCCCACGGCCGGGACACCCCGGGCCACACGCCAGGGCGGGTGCGCGTGGGTGCACGTGCGCTCCCCACGCGTGTGCGGGGCCGCCACAGGTGTGTTTCATGTCACGGCTCACCAAGGCGCGGGGGTCCTGCCGGTGCCCCCCGCACGGGAGTGCGAGCGCGGGGTCTGCATGTCGGGGCGTGTGTACACACGTGTGAGTGTGTGCACATGTGTGGGAGTGTGTGTGCGTGTACACACGTGTGGGGGTGTGTGTTTACACACGTGCACAGGGGCGTGTGCCCGGGGCCGAGCCGGAGGGCCGGGGACCGGGAGCGCTGCGGCTGCGGCTGCGGCAGGGGGGGCTGGCAGGGGGGCTGCCGGGGGAGGGTCCTGCCGGGTCACGCTGGGGGATTTATGGCTGCGGCAGTGCTGGCAGGGTGGGAGGCCACCTGCCTGTCCTCTGCCTGTCCCCCGCCTGCCCCCTGCCTGCCTGCCCGCCGGTGGGTGCCCCCGGCCGCCCCCGGCCACTCCCAGCCCCCCGTCCCCCCGGGCAGATGCTCCTCTCTCCCGGCTCCGCCGCCCTCGTTAATCCAACGGCACAAGGCGACGCAGGGCGGGAGCATCTGCCTGTCCCCAGTGCCTGGCGCTGCCGCGTCTGCTGCCGAGACGCGCAGGACGGGCACCCCGGGCACTGCCCGGCGGGGTCTCCTCCCTCCGCCAGGCCCCAGTGACGGTCAACGTCCCGTCCCTCCTTCCCTGTGCCCCGGCTCTCGGCAGCCCTTTGCTGCGGGGCCAGAACGCCCCGGCACCGGAGCGGGAGGTCAGGCAGACCCGGCAGCGCGGGGGGCGGGAGGGGTGACCCGGGCCCCGCGGTGGCCCCGGCAACGCGCGTCCCCTGGCTCGTTGCAGGCCGGGATTTGAGGCGGGGGCCCGGCGCCCGCGCCATGGGGAACTCGGTGAGCCGGCCCAGCTGCCTGGGCGAGAAGAGCCGGCGGCCGGAGGAGCTCCTGCGGGAGCCGCCGTGCCGGGAGCCGGGGCTGGATGAGGGGCAGGCGGCCGCTGGAGGCGTCACGGAGGCCTTGCCGGGGCTGCCGGAGAAGGCGCCGGTGCCGGTGGAGAACGGCTGGAGCCCGGTGCCCGGTGCCGTTCGGAGCCGGCCGGGCAGCCCGGTGCTGAGGCGCAGCCAGTCTGAGGTGGCGGTGCAGAACGGGGGCGCGGCCGGCGTTCCGGTGAAGGGGCAGGCGGGGGGCGCAGCCTGGACACCCCCCCGGGCCAGCGTTCCCCGCAGCACCTGGTCCTGGAAACCTGTCACCACGCGGGAAGTGACGGAGGTGACGGAGGTGACCGAGACCATCGTGACGGAGATCGTGGAAGTGACCGAGTATCCGGCGGGCGAAAAGGGCGGCGAGCCCGTGGTCACCCGGACGGTCACCGTGCTGACGGAGCGTGTGGGGGAGCTCGCTGCCGCCGGCTGCGCCGGACATGCGGATGCCACCGAGGTGACTGCCGGGCAGGGACCCTCGCCGGGAGGACACTGTGCCAACCCCGCGCCACGGGGCTGCCCTCTGGCACGGTTCTCTCGGCAGCGACTCTTGGCCTTCCTCTCCCATGGCCGGGGCTCGTGAAGGGTCACCGAGGTCTGTGCCCTGGTGCTGGTGGCACCCCCAGTGCTGGGCACCCAGCCCGGTGCCATAGGGCAGGGGGTTCTCTCTTCTCGCGGCTGGCGAGGATCGTGTGTCCAGAGGGGTCCGAACCATGCGGGGTGCGCAGCCCCTGCTTTGGAGAGCCCTGCGAGGGACGCCGGGGAGGACCCCATGGGCTGGGCAGGGTCCCGGCGTCACCTCCCGGGCAGGGCACAGTGTGGGGTCGCAGCCCAGCCCCACTGCCCGCCCACCCGGGCGGCTCAGCCACCTCTCCACCCACAGGTGTCCCCGCGGGCCGTCCCTGTCCCGGAGGAGGTGGCAGGCGCGGAGCGGGGCCAGGAGACGCTGGAGCGGCTGCTGGCCTGGGTGGCCGACATGGAGGAGCTGGTGAGCAACCAGAAGCCGCCGTCGGCGGAGGCGAAGGTGGCGAAGGCGCAGCTGGAGGAGCAGAAGGTCAGCAGGGCCGGCCGGCGCGTCCCGCCCACGCGCTCCGGCCGGGGATTAGGGGGCCGGGGCTGGAGCCGCCGCCCGGGGCCGTGCCAAGGCGGCGGGGGCGGGCGGGGTCCCCGGCACAGCGCGGTGCCCCCCCTGCCTTGCAGCTCCTGAAGCGGCTGCTGGAGGAGCGCAGGCCGCGCGTGGAGCTCGTCCTGCAGGACAGACCGACGGCGCACGGCTCCGGCACGGCGGCACCTGAGGGCAGTGCCAGCCTCTCCGACCTCGGGGAGAGGTGGGACAAGCTGATGCAGGAGGCTGAAGCCAGGTGGGTCCGGGTCCAGGCTCTTGTCACCAGGCAGGCACAGGCTCTGGCCACTGGTGTCCTCACAAGCCGTGTCACCACGACACCCCGATGTCCTTGTGTGCCCTGCCCTGCTGGCATCGGGGCCACCACAGCAGAGGAACCATCCCCATCCCACATGCCAGGGCTGCACAGGGGCAGCGGGTCTGAGGCTCTGCAGCCAGTCTTGCATGAGGCCCTTCCTGCAGGTCCCTGTCTGGGGAATGCTGGCCTTGCCGTGTCCCTCTCCTTGGGAGTCCCAGGGCATGGGGGAGAGGGGGCTTTCCTGGCTGGGACCTTGGCCTCGGAGACTGTCACCCCCGGGCTCACCCAGCCCTCCCAACGCAGGTACGGCCGCCTGGAGCGGATCCTGCCGGCAGCTCAGGGCTTCCAAGAGGCCGTGGATGCCTTCCAGGAGTGGCTCAGTGCCACGGAGCGACAGCTGGCCCAGCTCTGGCGCACCGATGGCTGCGTCGGCCGCGTGCAGGATGCCCACCAGCAGACCCAGGTGGGGCCAGGGTGGGCACGGGGTGGGCACGGGGTGGGCACCTATATCCTTGTCGGTCACTGCCACGGGAGCTTCTTGCCCAGGCCCTCTGTGAGGAGATCCGCGGGCGGCTGGGAGAGCTGGACAGTGCCCTGGAGAGAGGGCAGCGGGTCCTGGAGATGGTGACAGGTGAGTGGCGATGGCAAGGAGTGGCGGCCACGGGGTTGGGACTGCGGGGTGTGGGATGGGATGAGCACAGAGTGCGGCAGCCCAGCCCAGGGATGGCACCCCTGGGCACTGGGGGTCCTTGGAACGTGCTGCTCCCCACCGGGGGCTGTGGGGCGGTGTGAAGGGGCACAGCATCCCATGGGATGGAGAGAGGCGAGGGCAGAGCCTGGGGGTCAAGGCCATGGTGGGACAGGGTACAGTGACAGTGAGGGGAAGCTGGGAAGGTAGATTTTGCTGGCAGTGGGATAAGGGGCCAGATCCAGCTCTGGGAGCAGCAGGAGAGGAGAAAGGTCGGGACAGAGTGACCATCACAGCGATGGAAGCTGTCGGTGTGGCTGATCCCACGCCTGGGATGCTGGCACGGGGGCTCTGATGCCGGTGTGGTGTGGCCACAGGGGAGGAGGCCCAGCTGGTCCAGGAGAAGATGGAGTCGCTGAGGATGCGGTACCTCATCGTGGGCCAGAGCAGCACCGACACCGCACACCGGCTGGGGCAGACCCTGGAGGCCTCGTCCCGCCTGGGCACAGCCCCCGAGGACCTGGCACTGTGGCTGGGCCGCATGGAGAAGGAGCTGGGCAAGCGGGAGAGCCAGGATGGCGACCAGGAGCCCCCAGTCAGCGCTGGTGACAGGGAGAAGGTGTGGGACGCGGCACTTTGGGGACTGTCACCCTCTGCCTCCCTTTACCATTCCTGGCCTTTCTCTGCAGCGGGAGGTGGTGGAGTGGGGTCCGGGTGGGATACTCTGGGTTATGGGAGACAGTCCTGTGGGGCTGTGATGTGTTGAGTCTCTGTCCTGGAGCGGCTGCCCCAGTGTGTGCCCACTCTGCCCGGCTGACATCTGTCCCTCTGCCACAGTTTGAGCAGGTGCTGGAGTCCCAGCTTGCCCGTGTGACCGGGCTGGGCAAGCGGCTGGAGGAGATCGGCCGCATGCAGCTGGACCCTGAGGCTCTCGGCTCGCAGCTCTCCGAGCAGAAGGTGGGTCCACCGCGGTGCCCAGGGGTCCCAGGGGACACCAGCTCGGCGTCCCCATTCCGCTGGGCCCTGCACTGACCCCCAGGACCTGGCACCCACCTGCTGCTCCGTTCCAGCTGCTCTCTGCTGAGGTCCTGCACTGCCGGGGCCTGGTTGAGCGTCTGCTGGGGATCTCAGACCCGCTGCTGTGCTGCTGCCCTGAGCCCCTGCGGCAGCGCCTCCAGGTCAGTCGGGGGGGTTGCCAGGGGGGACGCTGCCAGCACTTGGGGACGGCCGTGCCCCACAGCCCCAGCCGTCCGGTGACCCCCGTCTCCACAGCCGTCGGTGCAGGCGCTGCGGGAGCGCACGGAGCAGCTGTCCCTGCGCAGCGGCGCCTGTGCCGTGCAGCTGGAGCACGCCCAGTCCCTGCTCACCCAGTTCTCTGAGGCACTCGAGGAGCTGCTGCCCTGGCTGGAGGAGACGCAGGCCCTGGGGGTGCAGCTCTCCCCCAACGCCATCAGCTATGAGGCCTTCAAGGAGCAGCAGGCGCTGCTGCAGGTGCAGGCAGGGACAGGGGCAGGGACACGGAGGGACGTGCTCGGCTGTCCCGCGGGGTTGGGAGTGGGGAGGCGACGGGATGAGGTGGCATCACCGGGGGGCCCACCGGGCTGGGGCGCCCGATGAGCATCAGCCTGCCGGGAGCAGCGCCCCGTGGGATGAATCCCCGTGGGGCACGTGCCACCCCGGCGTGGCCCCACGGCCGCTCCTCGCCCCCAGAGCCTGCGGGAGGCCATCGCTGAGCACCGGCCGCTGGTGGGGAAGCTTCAGCGCGTGTCAGCACAGCTGGTGGAGCTGAGCCCAGAGCAGGGAGCCCCGTTCCAGCGGCGCTGGCAGGAGGCCGAGGAGCAGTACGGCTGCATCCGCGAGCGTGTGCGCCAGGCAGCGGCTCTGCTGGAGGACGCCCTGCCGCGATACAGCCAGGTACGGGGCTGGCACCGGGGGTGGGGGGTGTCCCCAGGGGCGTCCCCTCGAGTGACTGGGCTGGTCCCCAGCTGACAGAGCGCATGGACCTTCTGCTGGAGTGCCTGGAGCGGCTGCAGAGCCGGCTGCAGAGCCAGCCCCCCGTCCGCGGGGATGCAGCCCACCTGCGGGAGCAGATCCGGGAGAACAGCCTGGCCCTGGGCGAGCTGGAGAAGCTGGGGGTGGCCCTGGAGGGCATCCAGGCGCAGGGCGGAGAGCTGCTGGCCACCATGAAGGCAGTCGGCTCCGACGCCGTGGCCAGAGGTATCGGCACGGAGGGGCGGGCACGGCCCTGCCGGCAGGTCTGTGTCCCTGTCGGGGCTGTGTGGGGGTGCCGGGTCCCTCCGAGCACTCTGACCCCCGCCCCCCGCGCCCGCAGGGATCCAGGAGCGCACGGAGCAGCTGCTGGCACAGTGGGGGTCCCTGCGCGGCCGCTGTCAGGAGCAGGAGCGGTGGCTGCGGGAGCTGCTGGCGCTGGCCGAGCGCTTCTGGCACGGCCTGTCCGAGCTGGCCCTGGCACTCAGTGACACCCAGCAGCTGGTGCTGGGGCTGGAGGAGGCCGGCGGGGAGCCCGAGGCCATCCGCACGCGGCTGCGCACCATGCAGGTACGGCTGGGGCGGGGGCCTGGGGGGCAGCGCTGGGGCGTGGGCAGCCCCCCAGCACGGGCAGCCCCCATCCCGGGCAGCCCCGACCCCCGTGCCATGTGCAGGCGCTGCGGGAGGAGATCGATGCCCTGCAGGGCGAGCTGGACACGCTGGGCAGCCTGGGTGTGGAGCTGATGGCCTCCTGTGGAGACCCCGACAAGCCCGATGTCACCAAGAGCCTGGACGATGTGAGTGTCCCTGGGGTTGGGTTCAGTGAGGGACGGGGTCCTGGAGCTGTGGGGATGGGGTGTCCCCTGACCCTGGGCAGTGCCACTGACCCCTGCTCTCCAGACCCCTTCACAACACCACTGACCTTCACACCCAGGCCCCCGTCCAGTGCCACTGACCCCTGTGCTTGGACACCTGTGTGGTGCCACCCCAGTACCCCAGACCCCATACTCTGACCCTCCTTTGGCACCACTGACCCTGTGCCTTGTCCCCCTGCACCCTGTCCCCTCTGTGGCACTGCTGACCCCACACCCTGGCCCCCCATGCTCTGCCCCCCGTGGCACC